GGAGAATGGAAGACAAGAGATTGCAGCATGCCATCCCCCTGGACTATGACTTCTCACTTTCCCTCTCACTGTCTCTCTCCAGTGAATGCATGTGCCATATGACAAAAACCTAAAAAAATATATAAATAAATAATAAAGAACCAGTGGGTGGCATGGAGGTTAAGGCACTAGATAGTCCCAAATGGCCAACCACAGTTTGAGTCTCAGACATGGTGGCTTGCTTTCTCACTTTCTCTCTCTCTCTCTCTGGTCAATTAAAAATAAATGAATGAATAAATAAAGTTAAATAATTCTTTAAAAAAAAATTTTAAAAAAGGACCCACACATGGCTGACTGCGGTTCAAGTCCCAGAATAGGCAGCTTGAAACTCATGCAAAGTGCATGTGTGTGCATGCCCAAAAAAGAAAAAAAAAGAAAGAAAGAAGGAAAGGTATTTTTAAAAAATCAGCCTATACAAAAAAATGAAGATGCCTACAAACAGTAAACATAGGAGCAAATAAAAAAAAGATATTATATCATAATAATTTCCTTTTTATTGGGGGAAGAGAAGGAGACAGAAAAATAGAGATAGGTATTTTCCCCCCCCTTGGAGAGATTTTTGCTATAGCGCATGTGCGCTCGCCAGACAGACAGAGAAAGACAGAGATAGAGAGTGAGAAATCACCCCCCAGGGGGGATGGCCATGCCGCAATTCCTTCTCCTCCATTCTCCTCTCAGGATCTTGGGCACGCACGCACATGCGCCCGTTGTGAGTTTAAGCCACCGGGTCCGGGACTCGAACGGTGGTGGACTACATGGGAGTCCAGCGACATAGCCATTACACTAACTGCTGGTCCTGAGATAGGTATTTTTTGACAGGGTCTTGCCTTGTGCCAATCATCCAGTTGAGCCTTGCAATTAGCTAGGATTATAGACACGCACAACCATATCTGGTGTATTTATGTCAGTCCTAGGTGTCTAACCTCCCAAAAAATGGTGCTACCTATGCACCACCTCAGCTGGGCCTTAACAATTCCTTTTTAAAATAATCAGCTTACTGGGCCAGTCAGGTGGCATGCTGGTTAATGTGGCTGGATCTCACATGGGATCACCCACGTGAAGCAAGTGCATGGTTCAAGTTCTGGATCCAGCAGCTTAGAAAACACACCAGGACATATGTGCACACAAAATCCCAAGAGCAGAATGGAGGAGAAAAGAGTGCAGCAGGGTCATCCCTCCTGGGGAATGATTTCTCACCCCTTCCCCATCTATATCTGGCAAGCGCACATGCCCTATAGGAAAAACTATTTTGAAAAATCAAAATAATCAACTACTTAAAGCAAACAGTGTGTGTTTAAACAAATTTAGAAATAATATGTAAGACAATATTTTAAAAGAAGGGAAAAGGAAGTGAAGTACCCAGTTGTAAAATATTTGCATTATACATGGAGTGTTACATAAATATTGGAGGGCCAGCAGGTGGTATGATGGTTAAGCAGCTGGATCCCATTCTCAGATTCAGTGGCTTGGGAAAAATGCCAAGCAAGTAAGCGTGCATGCCCAAAATCGCAAAAGGAGAAATGTAGGAAAAGGGACTGCAGCGTGATCATCCCCCATGAAGGGTGCCTTCTTAATTTTCCTCCCTCTCTGTCTACTCTGTTGAGCACATGTTCTTTATAACAAAGGTAAATATATATATATATATATATATACATATATATATATATTTGAATACTGTATTGTTTAAATTTTTCCTTTTTTAAAAAGGGGCACATTGCAAACCTTAGAACAACCCCTAAAATAGTAAAACAAAGTAATACAGCAATAACCCTATAGTAGAGATAAAATGATATACTAAAAAAATATAAGATTAATCTGAGAGGGGACCAGGCAGGAAAATAAAAGGAAGAATAGATGACAAGATAGTAGATTAATGTCCTTCTTTGCCATGTTTAATACCATAATGTAGGCTGCAATTTACTTAGTCTTCTTTTAGTTTCTATTTGCTTATTTTCTTTATCCTTTTACGCTCCTAAGAATTCAAAATTCTTCGTGCTACCAGTACACTAAATTCTAGTAAGGTCAGCTAAATAAGCTGGGTTGAGGATTCCTAACTCAAAAACCCAAAATCCAAAATGTTCCAAAACCTGAAACACTGTGACTGTTGACATAACACAAGTATAAAATTCCACGCTCGACCACACATGATGGACTGTAATGAAACATTGCAATGCAGAAATACTGTATAAAACTGCCTTCAGGCTCTGCATATAAGGTGTGTATAAAATATAAATGAATTTTGTGTTTAGACTTATCCAAGATATCTCATTTTATATATATATATATATATATATATACACACACACACACACACACATACACACACACATATATGCTCATCACATAGTAGGAACTCAACAAATATTAAATATTTGTTAATTCACCTCATCAAACCAAAGTTCTCACAAGTAAAACACTAATATCTTTCTCAAAAGAATACTATTTCTGTTCTTTCCTTATTCCTGGTAGAGGATTGAGGATATAAGAGATAGGAGTGATTTATTCAGCGAGTATAAGGGGTCCTGAAAAAGTTTACAGAATATGCATAGTATGAAAAAATTTTGAATAAATTTCAAAATTTTGTAGCCAAAATAATACTCATACTTAAATTTCACTTTTCCACAGACTTGTTTTTTAATTTGCCATTAAGGCACATATGCTCACCAGAGATAGAGATAAAGAAGGGAAAGTGAGAACACTCCCACAGGAGTAATGGCCACGCCATAATCCTTTCTCCTCCATTCCTCTCTTGGGATTTTGAGCAAGCATGCACATGTACCTGGCATATTTTGCAAGCAGCTAGGTCCTGGACTCAAACTGCATAGTCGGCTATGTGGAATTTAGCCACCTTAAGCCACCACACCATGAGCTGGCCCTCCACAATGAGCTGGCCCTCCACAAACATTCTGACGTCCTCTTGTGTATAAACACTGGTTGGAGAGGAGAGAAATAAAAAAGGAAGACTCTGTACTTTTGCCACCATCATTTACTCATTCATCAGTAGTTACTGTGATAATTTCCAATTAAGTAGTGTCAGGATAAAAACTGAAAAAAAAAAAAAAGAAGAAGAACTACAGTCATGTGTTGCTGCTTAACAGGGATATGTTCTAAGAAAAGCATGGTTAGTCAATTTGATCCTTACGTGTACTCCATAGAATATGCTCATACAAACCTAAATGATAGAGCCTACTGGACTTATGGAACCATTGTCATTTATGTGGTCAACTCTTGAGTGAAATGTCATTAGGCCAGAGCATGACTGTACTTCCATTAGAATAAGAAAACACCAACTTACACAGACCATGGTTTATTTTAGAACTGAAGGTATTAATTAATCCTCTTCTTGATTCCACACTAGAAGAAATTTGGTCCAAAGAAGGTATTGTTGGGTGGAGGGGGAAGTAGCCAAAAAAAAAAAAAAAAAAAAAAGACAGGATGATTGTCTCTGAGCTCCCAAAATGCAAATTTTTAGTGACATTTCTCATCTAATTTGAAGTCTCCTATTCTAAGGCCCTCTACACATACACCTAAATGATTAGAGGGAATCTGGCCAAATATCAACTTTACTTGAAAGCATGAAGGAATCCAGTCATCACAGGACAGACTCAAGGAAAACAGGCCCACATACTTCAGAGAAGAAATTCAGTTAGGCCAAACCAGTGTCTCAAAACTACAATGAAATGGAACCAACCAAACTGCTCACAAGTGCCCTGAGCAAATTCTCACTGACTTATGAGGAAAAAGAAAAGAAAATGGACAGTATAAGAAAAGATCAGCAAAATAGAAAACAGAACCAAAAGACACAATGTATGTGTAACAGGAGTTTCAAAATATAAAGGCTAAAACAACACAAATGGAAGCGATCAAGAAAACAAATATTTCCAGAGCAAAATAAATACTTGAGTCTATCTTTAGTACTATAAGAATTAAAGAAGAATCATACCAGAAAATATCCTGGAAAATCTTAAGTTTGTCCTTGAATACATGAATACAGACAAAAATACCTCAATATCTTTTTTTAATTATCTAATTTAATTTTATATATATTTCTTTTTTTTTTTTTTAATTTGACCAGAGAGAGTGAGACAGAGAAAGTTAAAAAGTAAGCCGCCAGGTCAGGAACTTGAACCATGATCAGCCATGTGGGAGTCCAGCACCTTAACCATAATGCCAACCTGCCAACCCCACCTCAATACCGTTTTTTGTGTTTTTGTTTTTGTTGTTGTTGTTTTTGTTTTTTCTTTTTGAGAGATCTTTTGCTATAGGGCACTCGCAGGAGAGACACAGAGAAACAGAGAGACAGAAAACAAGTAATCACCCCATAGGGGGTGATGGTCACACTGCAATCTCTTCTCCTCCATTCTCCTCTAGAGATTTTGGGCACACACGCATTTGTTCCTTCGCATCAACTATGTGGGAGTCTAGCGTCATAACTGCCATCTGCTGGTCCCTCAGTATCTCTTAATAAGGAATTCTGGAACAATGTGTATGGTGGCCTAGCCTCTGAAAAAAAAAAGGGAAAGAAAACACGTATGAAACCGTAGTATATGTGTGGCTTTTTCTGAAGGCACATGGTGATAAACGTAAGGTGTACAATGTGGTTTCGGCTTTGCGTTGAGTGTTTGAACCTGCAGCTGACGCCTCTGAGCTACCCCTAAATTGCCTGACTGTGCATGCCTGAGTTTAACTGGGTGAATGTGCTTTCCTTTAACATAAGTGGGGCACATACAGCCCCCATCACGGTCACAGTCACATACAAACTCCACTCACAACACACTGTCACAAAAGCACAATCTCGCACCCTGTCGCTGTCACAGCAGAGCTGCACGCCCTTGGTCCAAAGACAAACCTGGTCTCTCACGCACTCACAACACAACCCACCCCTCCCAGGGCTGGCCTGCACCCAGAGGCCCAAGACCAGACGGTCCTCTCCCCGTCCCTGGTGGTCCAGGGTTCCTCACCGTGAGCATCCTCGGGAAGGGCTCTTGTCCAAGTTCTGATTCGGATTCCAGGAGAGGCAGCGTACCCCACCCCGAGCCCTCCCATCCACGCTTCCACCCCCTGAGCCTCCGCCTCCAGACCCTTCTAGCTCGGCCCCGGCCGGAAGTAGCCCTGGGCAGCGGGGTCCTCTGGGAAACGTAGTCCAGGAGGAGAACCGCCGCCGAACCTGCTCCGCCTTCCGCCAGATCTGGGATTGCACCTGCTGGCTTTCACGCGGGACGGAGGGCACCACCTTTCGAGCTTCGCTGTTGGATTCTAGACTTCGGATTCCTCTAAGGACGGAATATGGAATTGGCAGGGTGGCTGCCCTTACCCCACAAAGCGGGCGCCAGTGCAGGGGCGGACGAGAACTGTGTTCGGCTGGGGCGGAGGGATCTCGCTGCCATTTGCGAGGTTGTAGCGGAGGATGGGAGTCCCCACGTGCGCGTGTCCGAAGAGGACTGCGAAGGAGGAGAGGGTGTTTGTGACTCCGACTGTGAGAGTGGCATGCGTGAAATGTGTGTGTGAAACGCTGTTGAGAGCGTTTCGGGGAGTGACTGTGCCATGTCGCTACGTGGGTTCATGCGCTGAGCTCGTCCACTGGGACAGTGATTGTGTCGTTATAATGGGATGTGACGTGAGTGTGGAGAGCGGTTTTAAACAGTGTGCTGCGTATGCCTGTGGGGAGTGCGGCTACGCGCTTAGTGACTTTGTGACACTGTGTGATGCTGTTGCTGCCGGGTGCCCGTAGCACGAACAGATGGTTTGACCCACGGAAGGTGAGTTCAGGTCGGGTGGGTCTGGCTGAAAAAAAGAGGAAGCTAGTTGGGACCAGGAAGGACTGAGATGGACTAACCCTCGATGTCTAGGGCAAGGCGAGCCCCTCCTAAGCCTTAGATGGATGCATGCGAGCTGTGTGAGGGGCGTTGGTGTGTCAGACTGTGCAAGAGACCAGAACCTCCTGAGGGGTGGAAGCTGCCAGAAGGGACAAAGCCATGATAGAGATTTTAAATCAGTAACTTCATTAGGAAATGTGAAGTAAAAGATTGTTACTTCGGTTTAAGAACAAAGTGCTCTGTGGTTCTTGGTCGTGCGTGTAAGACAGTTTGAAATTGAGACAGTCATTGGGAAAGGACATTATGTGAAATGTATTAAATATTTGGGGCCAGCAGATGGCGTGGTGGTTAAGGGTGTTGGAGTCCTGGACCTGGTAGCTTGCTTTCTCACTTTCCCTTTCTCACTCTGTCCCTCTCTAGTCAAATAAGAAAATAATTCTTTTTTAAAAAAAATAAAAATTTATATTTAGTATTAAGAAGCAGTATTAAAAAGATGACCTCAGAGGATTTTAGTAAGTAGATAGGATGACCATTCTGTGGATACCCATCAGTCTCTTTCCCCAGCCACCTGTCATCACTCAATTTGCTCATGAACATAGTGGTCATTAGGGCAATGATGGAAGTTGTGCATGGGTTTAGCAACATGGACTCTCACCAAGGCCATCGTGGTTACAAACAGTGGTCAGTCTGCCAACAGCTGAGAACAAGACTGAATCCCCAATACAACTCCATTTCCTCATGGCAGGATGATCACATTCGACTGCTTCTATCATAAAATGGGTGACTTTGGTTTTTTTCTTACTGGAATAGACACTCTGGATGTGGATTTACCTTCCTTACCTGAATTGCTTCTGCTAAAATGACCACTTAATATCTCATTGTGAGAACATTCTGGGATTCGTTAAACTAGTATGTCCCTGCAGGACTAGTGATTTCAGGGAAAAAAGAGAAATGAAGATTTTCTACACTTTGTTTTCCGGTTTTAAGGGGTTTTGTCCTGTCTTGAGATGTCGATAGGTCAGACTTGTGTTCAGAGATATGTGTGTACCAGCTGCGCTTACTATTGAAAATATTTAGATTAAGATCTTTACTGAATAAATAAAATGGGGGGGGAAAGACATAGAAAGCAACCATGGATACCAGAGACAGTGTGGGAGGAGGGTAGGAGATGGCAGAGGGCGAGATAGGGAATCAAGGCTGGGGAAAAAAAGCAAAATATACAGGAAACAAGAAATGGAAAGTTATTCGTTGACAATAACATGTATATTGATGTGCTTGATTGGAAAATCTCATTTTGTATGCTGTAATGATGTGTAGTGAATGAATGTAAATAAAAAATTTTAAGTAAAAAAATAAAAATAAAAAAGAAAGAAAATGCCAAAAAAAAAAGTTCCAGGGAAAAGAAAAGCTCATGGAAATGCATGTAATGGGGAAACTACGTATGAATTTCAAAAAGTTTTTGTACCAAAATAAATTTATACTTTAATTGTAAAAAAGAAAAAAAAGAAAGAAAAATGGTTAGTATCAAAAAGACTAGGAATACTTTTTTCTTGTTCACATTATGATCAAATAAGAAATCTTGTAAGATTGTGTTCATATTTTGAAACAGGAGGATTTCCTGAGACTTTGTTGGAGCTAGGTGTGGTAAGAGAGTCACCATACTTATACTCTCCTCCCTTTATACATGTTATTCATAGGACTTGTGTTTTGTTTTGTTTGTTTTTTTTTCTGGAGAGCTTTTTGCTATAGGGCATGTGCACTCACCAGAAAGAGAGAGACAGAAAGCGAGAAATCACTCCCCAGGGGGGATAGCCATGCTGAAATTCCTTCTCTTCCATTCTCCTCTCAGGATCTTGGGCACGCACACACATGCGCCCAGCGTGAGTTTAAGCCACCAGGTCCGGGATTCAAACCTCAGTTGACTACATGAGAGTCCAGTGACATAGTCATTACACTAACTGCTGGTCCCATTTTATTCCTAGGACTTTTAAAAGGCTTATATTGTCTTTCCCGTGAAAACTGAAAGTGGATTATTGTCCCGACCCACAGGACAGTCGAACAAGTTTCCTGAGGGAAGGAGTGAGAGACGGGATGAAGGTGCAATGTTACAACACGAGGAGGACACAGTGTTACAACTCTTCAAGGTCCTCAGTTTATTGTTGGCCAGGGATCGTGGTTATATACATGTTGGTGGGTGGTGACTGGTTAAATGAAGGATTATAAAAGGTGGGTTATGATTGGTTGCTTTTGTGGACCAATCATGAGGTGCCGGATATGCAAATCTGAGGGATTCTAAGCTCACCAAGCATTATGGGAAGTGACCAATCAGAGCAAGGTTTGGAAGGGAAGGTTTTGAAGGGGAGCCAATCATGGCCTTTGTCATTGTGTGATTGTTTGCTCTCTGAGAAACCAAAACCTAAGGGCTTCCTAAGATGGCAATAGTAAGAGACTCATGAAAATGGCCTCAGCAGACTCGCTGATGCGCAGCCTCCCACAGATTATTATGGAAGAATGTATTCGTAGGTAGTAAAAACATTAAGAAAACGTCTTCATGTGTGTAAACACATACTAATTTTGACCTTGAAACCTGAATTTCTTTTGAGAAATAAAATAATGCATAAATAATGTATATAAAATTAAATAAAGGGATTTATTTACATATCACAAAAAGTAGCAAACTGCTAAATGAGTTTGAAGATATCCTTTTTTGCTGCATGTAGTTTTAGCTTTAGAAGGAGAAGCATTATAGAAATAACTAATAACGGAGGACCAGCAGTTAGCATAATGGCTATGTCGCTGGACTCCCACGTAGTCAACCATGGTTTGAGTCCCAGACCCAGTGGCTTAAACTCACGCCGGGCGTGTGTGCCTGCGTGCCCAAGATCCTGAGAGGAGAATGGAGGAGAAGGGATTGCGGCATGGCCATCCCCCCTGGGGGGTGATTTCTTGCTTTCTATCTCTCTATCTTTCTCTATCTGGCGAGTGCACACAACCTATAGCTTCTCCAAAAAAAAAAAAAAAAAAAAAATAACTAAAAAAGGGGCTCGACGTTAGAAAAA